CAAAGAAAAGCCAAGACTGTTTTGTGAAGACAGCTAATGACTTTTGACAATACAAATATTATGGTGTCTTTTATCTCTTTGTGCTCAATGACTAGCACGTGGTCTAAAATATGCCAAGCACCAGTTAGGGGGTTATGAATTAAATCAGCAGGTTTTTGAGTCTGTGGTAATATGTGGTTGATAACCATTCAGCTATATCAATAAGATAATATATAAAATTCTTTTTTTTCTGGAGGGGTGGGAGTGGGGAGGCAACATTTCTTAAATAATTCCTTTGTGCTAGCTACCATACTAAATACTTTTTGTTTTTGTTTTTTGTTTTGTTTTGTTTTTTTGAGACAGGGTCTCGATCTGTTGCCCAGGATGGAGTGCAGTAGCATGATCACAGCTCACTGCAGCCGCAGCCTCAACCTTCCAGGCTCAAGCAAGCGATCCTCCCAGCTCAGCTCCCCAAGCACCTGGGATTACAGGCACACACCAGCAAGCCCGACTAATTTTTGTATTTTTAGTAGAGAAGGGGTTTCACCATATTGCCCAGGCTGGTCTCGTACTCCTTGGCCTCCCAAAGTGCTGGGATTACAGGTGTGAGCCACCATACCCGGCCTAAATATTTTAACCTATGTTGCTTCATTTCAACCTCACGACAACCAAAAATCTTTTACATTTTACTGTGGAATAATCATCTGGTTATTGGTTGAAAAAGGTTAACCAGCTTGTCCAGGGTCACCCAGCCAAGTAGAGCCCAAGCCCCAAATGCCCCATAGATGCTGCTGGGTCTGCTGTGATTCCGATTAAGAAATGCTGCCTTCCTTATTACTCATTTATCTCAATACCAAGATGGAGGGAATGTTTTGAGAATGGCTAAGGCCATAAGCATTTTTCAGGGATGGTTACATTTTCATAGCCAAAATACCATTTAAAGGAATCAGAAAAAAAAACTTTTGCTTTCACATTTAAAAATATTTCTTTTCTTTTTTCTTTTTCTTGTTTGAGGCAGAGTCTTGCTCTGTCACCCAGGCTGGAGGGCACTGGTGCAATCTCAGCTCACTATAGCCTCGACCTCTCGGGCTCAGGTGATCTTCCCACCTCAGCCTCGTGGGTAGCTGGGACTATCCAGCTATAGGCGCACACCATCACACTTGGCTAATTTTTGTAGTTTTTATAGAGACAAGCTCTCCCCATGTTGCCTAAACTGTTCTTGAACTTGTGGGCTCAAGTCATCCTCCCACCTCGGCCTCCCAAAGTGCTGGGATTACAGGCATGAGCCACTGCACCCAGCCTTAAATTTCTTAAATAACTCTCTTCAGTCTCCTGGAAGGCATGGCCAAGGGTCAGATGCTTAGTTCCAAGCTGCTCTCCACAGGCTCTCCTGTTAACAGACTCATTTAGGGCTACCTAAAATGCTTACAAGGAAAATTTAGAAATGAACTTAGTATTTGGTGACATCCATACCTGAGTTATAATGCTAATTTTAAAATAAGCTATTTATACTGATTTACTTTTCATTGATATCCATTTGAATATACATAATATCCCTAAACATACAGGAAATTAGTAACTTTAATTAGCACGTATTCTCTACTTGGAAGAAATCTTCATTCATCAGTGAGTGAGTATTTTGCCACTCTTGAACTTGCTTGGAATCAAAACAAACTTTTGCATTTTCCTGATTACCTTTAATTCTCAGGAAATTCAGACTTTCGCAGCTAAAAGAAAACCCTGGTATTCCAGGGTACTCCCCACCACATACACACACACAGAGGTGTTAACTGGGCCTGGCATACAGATCTTGAAAACTGATACAATTCCAGGCTCTCTGCTCCATGTGGTTTGAATGTCAGTTGAAAGAAATCAGTTTTCTAAAAGTTACAACAAAGCATGCATTGAGTTATCAATATTCACTTTCTATGGGGTCATTTTCAAGTTAATCACCTAACATTTTTAAAGCCCCCACTTTATGATACTCAGAAAGCTGCAAAGGTAGAAACATGTCTTTCCCCTTAGTTTCACATCCTTTTGTGCCATTTTTTCCCCACTGTCATGCCATGGAGTGTCGTGGGAGTGTGAGTGTGTATGTGTGTTCTCCGCTTATTCTTTGTACTTCAATTGAACACCACCTTAGATCATCCTTGACAAGAGAGTAAAGGTTATCATTAGCATGTTGAATAATGGATGGGGTCCATTGTATTTTCTTGTTTAGGAAAATAAATCATCCTGAAAATGTGTATTATGTTCTATGTGAAATGGAAGCACATCAGCACTTGTTATGTTTTCCTCTCCTGAGTCGGTTTGGCAGGGCGCCTGAGGCTGGAAAGAACAGCCAGGGGTTGCCAAGCAAGGGCTGGCTTGATTCCGTGCCCATTCCTCTAGGGGATGTAAACATCCTGCCCTGGAATACTTCACCAACCTGTAGCTAGAAAACTCCCGTGTACAACGGGGCAGCTGGGAGAACTGGAAACTGTGAGTCACAGCACCCACGAGGCCCTGCTGGGTAACGAGGAGGTCAGGCGTTGAAGCTCCATCCGCCCCACCCCAGCCCCCAGAATGAGGATGGCACTCAACTCAGTGGAGAAACATACAGGCATCAAGTGTAGGGGAAGGGCAGAGGAGTCTAGGATTTCCTGAGGACCTACTGTCCACATGCCGGATACTGTGCTGGGCAGCTTCATGCACACTCACTCGTGTCAAATGGAGCAGGGCTGCCCAGTGGTTAAGGCCACAGGTGTCTAGAGTGAGACACACCTGGGCCCCACCACTCACTGATTGGGCCGTCTTGGGCAATTTGCTTAATCTCTCTAATCCTCAATATATGATCAGCCAAATGGAGATGGACCAGTTAAAACACTGAAATCCTTTCACACCACAAGGGCAGGAGCAGTTGCCCTGAGTCCTGAGAGCACACACACTCTCAGTGCCCTGGCAGAACCAGCCTGTTCCTGGAAACCCCCCAATTATGCAGGAGAGTAAGGGAGACTCAAGCCCAAAAGAGGCTTGAAGGCCTGTCTAGAGGCAAGGGCTGGTTCGCTGTCATTGACTGGTACCCATGTCATACCAGTCGCTAGCCAGCTTTACAGGGCTGTCACAGTCACAGAGGTGGGGTCTACAAAGACTATCATGTGACAGGCCTGAAATACATGATAATCATAGTCATGCCCATTATATAGACAGGGAAAGCTAGGCTAAACAAGGTTAAACAACAGGGTTAAAGCCATGTATGGAATGAAGATATGAACCTAGGTGAGTTGGACTCGCCACCTTGCGCTTCTCAACCCTGATGTATGATTGGAGAATGATAAATGCCCATTTAATAACAGCGTAAAAGAGCTTCCCTCCTGGAAAGAGCCATTGCGTCAAGTGGATTTCAGAGGTCCATGCTCATCTAAATGTCGCCCTTGAGGATTCGTGTAAAAGGCAAGCATGGACCCATTTGCTAAATGTTTTAATTATGGCATCAGACTGATTACATGGAAACTGCTTTTCTCAAATCTGCATAGAACATACTGGTCTCAGCCATGGCATCAACTGTGACAGGGGCACAGATCGTCTTCTTGACAGGATGTGATTCTTATGTTTGGGCACTCTGAATGGGCCATGAGTTGAGCCTCTGTGGTTCTGCATGAACTCTGAGGATAGGGGTGGAAGGAGAAAGTGTGTCAAGATCTAATTCCATATTGAGAATAACATATTACTTTAAAACTTTTATCAGGGTAGAATACTGCCAGGATATGTTAAAAACAATAAAGGTTCACCGATTAGAAATGCAGTTCTCACATTGTGGTCACAACACAGTTCCTATACCCACAGTCTTCTGATTCTACATCCTGCTTCTCCGTCAGGTATTAATATTTGAGTACGAAATAGTCACCTGGGGGCGGGAGAATGCTTTCATGAGAACAGAACATAAGACAGTTAAGTTTTGTTAAGAAAGTGGGGAAGAGGCAAGTATATCATTGGGAGGAGGCCCAAGTGTAGATTATTCTAGAAGTAATCTAGAACTTTGCTATTCAGCCTGTGGTTCACAGACCAATGGCATCAGTGTTGCCTGGGAGCCTGACAGATGTCAGAATCTGAGGCCCACTCCTGGCCTAAGGATCAGAGTCTGTATTTTAATCAAATGCCCAGGTAGTATGTATGCTCACTGCTGCTGGAGAAGCTCTGCTCTAGGGGGCCCAGCCTCTGCTCACACTCAGTGGGTAGGAGTTGGTGGGGGTGGTGTGAGCAGAAAATGAAGCTGTAAGAGATGGGAAGGTACCCAAGTGTTTGCCTAAGAGGTTATCCTGTCTGAATCGGCTGGAGGGGAAAAAAATCTGTTCTCCAATGATGAGCAGGCTGCGGCTGCAGTTGCACACAGCGTGATGACCATCTGTGTATAAAAAGTGAAGTTGAAAAAAAAAAAGAAAGAAAGAAAGCCAAGAAAAGAAACACTGTGCAGGAGTGCAGAATTGCTACAGAGGCTGAGCGTGGCCAGGTGTTTAAGCGGGAAAGCCAGTCTTGAAGATCAAAGGCAAGTCGATTGTAAAAGAGAACATCTTGCCTACCAAACCCGGGCCCTCTGAATGGAGAGAGGGCGACATCTGAATAGACCAGATGTTAACAGCCGAGGGATCCTTAGAGCCTAGAATAAACTCACCTAAATAGCTCTGTGGCATCAAAACCTCATTATCTGCCAGGCCCACCGCTAAATACAAACACAGGTTCTATCAGCAGATGTGAAAGAAATCCTTCCAGGCACCCAGCTGAGGCAGTAGGAATTTTCAGTCTCTGTGGTAAATGGGCAGTAATTAATTACAGGAGAGATGCTGAAGCCCCAAAAAATAAGTTCTGCTTTGCGGATGACAAGGAGATGTCGTTTTTGGAAAGAGCTGTGTGAGCACTTCGTGGTAAGCAGTCTGCGGCCATCACAGGTGCTATCTCCTACAGGCCTGACATGGGGCAGGCTGGTTATTTTTGTGAAGGATGAGGGGCTGGGGCTCTGAAGCTTCCATCCCCTCATGCCTGCACTTCAGTTCCAGTACCCCAACACCATCCTTCCATCAGCAGCCCAGCAGAATCGGGGGGCACTGGCAGGGATACGAGTGTTTCATCAACTTATGAATTTTCCACAAGTACAAGCTGGTCTCCTTTTAATTGCCCCCACAGAGATTCTCATAAATACGTTTAAATATAATAATTATTATTGTTATTTTACTTTGTTCTTCTAGATGGCATTTTTCCTTCAAGCAACTCAAAAGAACGATTCTGAAGTTATCCAATTAATCTTTGCAACATTCCTGTGAAGAAGAGGGTTGGGAGGGCGGCAGTTTCTCTACGTTTCTAGAGGAGAGGGAAGGCACAGCAAGGTTAAAGGGACAGAGTGAAATAAAGATGACCCTGAAATGGAAACTGGGAAGCCCCGTGCTCCCAAAGGGTCCTCAATTTCCAAGTTTATCATCATCCAAAGTGTGCAACTGCTTAGGCCAGTACCCTAAGTGAAAAGCATTAGTATTCAGATCTTGCTGTCACCTCTCAGGAAGTCACGACTTTGTGCAAGTCATTTAGCCTCCTTGAGCATCCGTTTCCCATCCGTCAAATAAAGAGGATACCTGAATGGAATGTGGCATAGAAAAGATCCAAGCCAGGCCGGGCGCGGTGGCTCAAGCCTGTAATCCCAGCACTTTGGGAGGCCGAGACGGGTGGATCACAAGGTCAGGAGATCGAGACCATCCTGGCTAACATGGTGAAACCCCGTCTCTACTAAAAAATACAAAAAACTAGCCGGGCGAGGTGGCAGCGCCTGTAGTCCCAGCTACTCGGGAGGCTGAGGCCGGAGAATGGCGTAAACCCGGGAGGCGGAGCTTGCAGTGAGCTGAGATCCGGCCACTGCACTCCAGCCTGGGCGACAGAGCGAGACTCCTATTCAACAAAAAAAAAAAAAAAAGAAAAGATCCAAGCCCTCTCCTTCAGGGTAGCAAACCCTCTGGAATCCAACTCCAATGGGCTCCTTTGCAGTTTTATGCATGAGGCTGTTTTAGGCTTCACAGTAGAAATGGCACATTTTGGCAGGACATGGAGCAAGAGAGTCCAAGGACAGGTGTGATAGACAGCCTCATTCAGATCTTAGCTCCAGCACTTTTTAAGTCCTATCACTTTCAACAGGTCACTTAACCACTCTGAGCCTCTGTTTCCTCATCTGTCAAATGGGGGATGGTGAGATAATGCTTAACACGAGTCTGGCATTGAGTAGGTCCTCAATAAGTATATAGAAAGCGGTTAAGAGGAGGAGCCTGGGGTCAAAGTGTCCGTATTTGAATCCTGGCTCACCACTTTCCAGCTAAGTCACCTTGGACAGTCACTTTGCCTCGCTGGATAACAAAAGTTCCTAGAGGATTAAGCAAGTGAGTACATGTAATTTGTAACAGAGTCTGGCACAGGGTCTATGCTTGATAAATGTTATCATTAATCATATTATAATTATTGCTTAATTTCTTGTTTCCATTTTGTCTTAAGAAACCACAGACACTGGCCTCCACCTCCAAGGAAGGAGATTACTCCATAGTGTAAGGGCAAGGTGGAGGGGAGAGTGTCCCAGTATAGAACCACTTTCCATCAGTAAATTGAAAGAAGTATCTCTTAGCTGGAAGTATTCCCTCTGGAATCACACAGGGCTGTGGTCTGCCACTCCCGGGCTAAGCGAGTGCTGGGCAAGTCCCTGCACCTTTCTCTCGGCCAACTCATATGCAAACCAGTGGTAACCAGCTCACTGCCTTGATTTGTTAGAAAGATTACATGAGCTAATGCACACAAACACACTTTGTAAACTCTTAAATGCCTCATATATTCGAAGTGCTATAAATTCTGAAAGACACACTTATACTCGAAAAGCATATAAAGCTCTGAATTTTCATTAGAACGTGGGGAAAACTCAACATGTGTGCTTCTGTGTTGCGTTCTCTCGAATTACAAAATGCAATGTTAAAAATCTCTTGTCTCAGGTAGGAGAAGAAAGAAGGCACTTTAATTTCCGGTGGTGCCAGCACATGGGGTTTGGGCTTCACCACCAGCTGCTGTAAAACCAAACCAAACAAACAATATATCCACCCACGAAAAGTAACTCAAAGTAACTGGATTTCTCTTTGCTGAGTTTCCTGTGAATACTTCAAAGCCTGGAGACTTTGCAGATGTCTTGGTGGTGATTTCCCTTTAGCAAACACGTGGGAAATACTCCAATAAGAGAGAAGCCAGTTCCATGAAAGAAGACTTGGGGGCAGAAACCGAGGGAAGACGGTTTGCAAGCTGAGCATGATGAGTGCAGTAGCCTGAGCTTCATTTCTCATATGCTTAGCACACATTTGCAGCTGGGGCTAATTCTTCAGCTTACCTCCAGTGTTTACAGCAAGGAAGCATTTCTTGGGTTCTAGCCCATGAATAGTCAAAACTGAACTTGATTAGAAAGCATTATATTAAATACTTCACTATTGCCAAGCCTCTCCTTGCAAGCCGCCATCCCCATCAGAAGAGAAGAACAGGTGGCCTCCTGCTCCTGCTTGGAGGTGCAGGAGGGGATTGGGACACTGGGCAAAGGATAGGTCTCCTCACCTGTTGTGTTATTTCAAATTTGTGTTTCTTTTACATTTTTGGTTCTCCTTCCAAAGCAAATTTCCCTAAACATGTAGTCGGGGAAATTTTTTACCTTGAGCATCTCTAAAGCTGTAACACAGAAAGTAAATATTTGCTTTCAGGAAAGTTTGTTTGTGGATTAAAATCTGCTTCTTTGAATCAAGAATCAGCTTATCCTTTCAAAATAAGAATTTATTACAAAACTACAACGCTGTCTACAAGCTTACAAAGAGTGGTAACAGTCCATGCCGTCGGCAAAATGACTGCTCCCAGGCCCTAAGGCAGGGCCCTCGGGCTTGTCCCAGGGATGAAGACGGTGCCCAGCACGGTCTCCACAGGCATCAGCAGGATGCTTTGCAAGGCAGTGGCCTAGATATTGGGGTGAGGACCCCCAGCTGCAGAACAGAGTGAAGTTTCTTCCTCCACTGGATCACCACACTCTCATGGCCAACCAGGCCTTTACCAGGAGACGTCTCGCCTGCCTGACTGTGGTTCGCCGCTCATACTTCACTGTTTTATGTAACAAAGGTCCTCGGAACACTTACTAGGAGCCAGCCATGGAGGCCACCTGAGTGAACATCATGGTCTCCGTCATCATCTAGTCTAGTGTGAGGGACAGGCAAACAGCGTGCCACCTGCTATACCTGAAGTGGTGCAGGGCTGCAAGTGACAAAGGAGGGGTACCCCCTGAGGTAGGGAGGGGCTTTCCTGAGGAAGATTGGGCAGGTAAGTGGGCAGGGAGACGGAGAGAGAAGGAGAGTGCTACAGTAGACAGGGCAGCCTGTTTGACAGCACCTGGAAAGGCCCCTCCCCTGCAGGGAGGAGCGGCAGGAGGGGTAACGGGAGTGGATCCAGAAAAGGTTCCAGACTCAGCTCCTTGTGGGCTAATGGAAGATCAGGACTTTAGCTACAGGGCAGTGGGGAGCCACTGCATCACCAAGTCCCAGTCCACTGGCTTCTTGTTTTATGTTAATTACTCAACTTGATAGAGCCTGACTGCATACAAAACTTAGGATACTACACAAAA